GCCCAGTGTGAGTTGTGATCTCAGTATGCACACAGCAACCCTACAGAGGAACAGCCGTGCGTCCCCACCTCAGCTCCTTAGCCAGATCAGATGAGCTCGGAGCGTGCCAACCCTAAAGTGAGATCAAGAGACACCTGAGTTTCAGAATTAAAGAAAGACTCAGCGGCAAGCCTTCGTTGCTCCCTAGAGCCTGTAGCCCTTTTAATAACAGCGAGAGTACAAAAGCCCCAAGCGGCAGCCAGGGTAATTATGGTCTGCCATCCAGCCTGCTCTTGAGAGATGAAAAGGGCAATACTGTACGTGTACACACATACACACACACACAAAGTTATTATTTACTTCAAACAGCTCCACAGATATTAACTTAATGGAGGCTTGCCACCTCTGCCAAGGGGAGAATTATGCTTCTTACCTGCTTTTACAATTGTAGAAAAAGAACCACACGGAGAGGAAGATGGGACTTGGTTGTAAAGAAAGGCATCTGTTGTCAACTGGGGACCAGGAAGGAGAACAGGACTGACGTGGACAGTTCGAGCCCTGCAAGCCCACAGAGCAGGGCCTCTGTCACAGGACAGCAGAATATTTGCCCCTTACCTTTCGAAACAGCCTTCTGAGCTGCAGTTTTTCAGGAGGCACAAGGCCCACGATTTTGCTATTATCACTATACCAAAAAGGGCTTATTACATTCATCTAACTGATGAATGGAGCACTGCTGTGGCCCTAAACACACAGATTTGGAAGGAAGGCCTCCTGAATTCAGCCGAGCTTACGTCTGAGTAGAGATGCATAAGTCAGCAAGGTAAAGGTGCTGTCCTACCTCCTGCACACACGAAGGTCGGAATATATGGGAGAGCCCGTTTCCAAATAAAGCCTAAGACTCTATAGGTGCAGTTATTGTTAACCTGCATTTCCCAATGTTTCCAGGCAGTGAGCTAGAGAGAGCAGCGATTCAAGCTCTGCCTGATAAACATTTTCTTTTTCTATAAATAATGGACTTAATTGGGGCTTAGCAACAACAACATCAGCAGGAGCACACCGAGCAAAGCCCCTCCCTTTCTTCTTCGCAAAGGCAGGATCATCACAGGGCAGCCAGGGAGGGGCCCTGTTGGCACACACACGGCTGCTCCACGTGGGAAGCTGGGTCCTGCCTGCCAGGAAGGCAGCCCAAGAGTTCTGCGTTCAGGAGCAAGGGACTTGCCCGAGGGGTCCACTGGATGGCATGAACACAAAAGCCATTGACGCCTTTTCCCCCGAATCTCCGTGCCTTCTGACAAGTTTGCTCATTTCACTTGAGGCACTTGGGTGTATCAAACGAACATGCTTTAATTAAAAAAAAACAACCACCAGATTGAATACTTTCCCCTATTGGGAAGGAATTAAGAAAATGACTAGCTCCTTTCAGATTCTGCCAGGGGCTGCAAGGTGCCACCCACCCAGTCCGGCTCCAAGCTCGCTCATCGTCTGGAGCGCACGCCCTGGTTGTCTCCTGCTCGGTGTGGCAACCCGCAGGGTTAACAGATGGCCTGCGTTCGGCCCAGTGGCTTGTCTTCAAGGGTGGTCAAGGAGCTAGAAAGAATCATGGCCAAAACCTGGGGGGGAGGAGGGAGAAGAGAACCAGTGGGAAAAGCGATTGTAAGCTAAGACAAATCAGATAAAACTCCTAAATAGACATGGTCCAATAAGTTAAATGCCTTACGTTTATCAAATCTTTCCAATAAAACAAAACTCAATTTTTAACGATTTAAAAAAGGGTATCCCAATGAATGCTGGGAAGGCAATACCATTATTTTATAACGTTTACACATCTTACCACCTATTTCTACTTTTGTATTTGTATCTCTGTTTATACCGTAATGCTTGCTAATGGCCTATGCTCACTAGCAATACATTTACTGACATGAGAATATTGGAAAGGCAGCAGCAGGCTCTGTCCGGGAAAACTGGCTAGCATACTGCTTAAATAATTTTCCTTGTACAGTATTTCATTAACTACAAAAAATATACTGTATATAAATTTATTTTTATTTCTTTGTTTAATGAATACTGAAAGTTGAAGCACAGAGCCCGAACGCCAGGCCAAGTGAAACATTTCATATAATGCAGAAAAAGGGATCTCATTGCCTATAGAAAGCTAGCACATCAGGAAAGAGTAAGCTGTTATACCAAATCAGACCCTTCGCCCGTACAGCGGCTCTTCAAGGTTTCAGAGAGGAGATCTTTCCCAGCCCTGCTTGGAGTTGCTGGAGGTCGAAACTGGAGCTTTCTGCATGTGCTGTACCAAGGAGGAGAATGGTAGAATCACAGAAAAATTGGGTTGGAAGGGGCCAGTAAGGCCATCGAGTCAAACTCCCTGCCTGCTCAATCCAAATCAAGGCAGATTGGACAGATGATTGTCCAATTTTCTCTTGAATGCCTCTAGTGTTGGAGTGCTCATTACCTCTCAGGGTAACTGGTTCCACTGTCGTACTATTCTAATAGTTAAGATGTTTTTTCCTGATAGTCAGCCTAAATCTGGCTTTCTGTAGTTTGAGCCTATTATTACATGTCCTGCACTCTGGGATGATCAAGATCCTGCCCCTCCTTTGTAGGACTAACCTTTCAGGTATTTGAAAAGTGCTACCCTATCTTCCCTCAGTCTTCTTTTCTCAAGGTGAAAGATGCCCAGTTCTTTCTATCTTTCCTCCTCACAGGGCTTGGTTTCCAGCCCTCTGATCATCCCTGTTGCTCTCTTCTGAACTTGTTCCAGTTTGTAGACAACCTTCTTAAAGGTCGGTGTCCAGAATGGGGGACAGTAATCCAGATGAGACCTAACCAGTACCCAGTTTGTAGACAACCTTCTTAAAGGTCGGGACACAGTAATCCAGATGAGACCTAACTAGTACCAAATAGAGGGGGAATAGCACCTTGTGGGATTTGGAAACTATTCTTCTGTTAAGGCATCCTAAAATAGCGTTTGCCATTTTTGCAGCCACTTTGCACTGTTGGCTCATATTTAGCTTGTGAATAATTCCAAGATTCTTGGAGGGATCTCAAAGGCCAGGGCAAAGAGAAAAGAGAAGGAAGGCTATTAGCAGGCATATTATTTTGGCCTGGATCAAACACGCATGTGAGGGTCCATGCATTTTGAAGAAAAGCTGAGATACCATTAGTGAAATCCACAGGCCCCACCCCTATACATCCCAATTTAAGCCAAATGATGTTTCCTAAATGCAGTAGCTAAGAGAGGAGGGAAAAACCAAAAGAGACAAAGATGGTGAACCCCCGCCCCCCAATCATGCTGTAATTCAACCACTGAATATATACCTTTCTCTAATAGCCTTCCATTCACTGAAGCAAGAAAGGGCTCCAATAGAATTCACCAACGTTCAACTGCTCTGCTGGCGAGAGGCAGGGGACATGCGCCTCTGCTGATGCCAGGTTATATGTACCATCAGCAGGATGACTCCCTCCCTCCTTTTAAAACTGGTTAGGTTTTGTCCATCTGCTGTGCTGGAACCTCAAAGAGATGACATCCCCACCGAGAGAGAAACCTGAATTTGATATCTGCTTTGTGCAGCGGTGGGGGAAGGGGAATGGAGAGGTAGGAGGGTGGGCAAGTCAATGCAAGGTATTGGGTCAAAAGTGGAAAGAGGGGAAAAAAGAAAGAGGGCATAAGATTTCGAGACCATCATTTTATGTATGTCCCCTGGTAATTAAGAAAAAAAAACCCCCCACCACCGAAGTTTCGTGGCACCCTGAAGATTGGCCATATCATGTATTATAACAGAAGTTTTTGGATGTCCTAAATTTCATTTAACAAAACGGAAGCTCGCGTCTAATACGTAGGATCAGCCTACAATGTTAGGCAGACCTGTCAGCGGCTGCCGTTCCCCACTGAGCTTACAGGAACCAAACAAGACGTAGAAGGAAGCTTTTGACCCCCCACAATTCCTTACCAACAGCCCAGCTGACTAAAATGTCTGAAAACTCAACTCCAAAACACCAGGAGGACTCCTCCTTCCCCACCTTTGCTCTAAGACAGGGAGCAGGCTGCCAACACCGTCTGGGAGTCGGCCTGCAAGCCTATGCTTGCAGGGAAGTAAATCTCACCATTTCAGTGGGGCTTAGGCATTTTTCCTAAGGAAACGAGTGGGGCGCATGATTACTGAACAAGCAGGCCAAGTGTAAGGCTCCAGCCCTAAAACTATCATGGCTAACTGTGAAGAAGGCTGGGAATGTCAGGCTAAGGCTGGGAAGGCTGCGTTTGGTCCACCTCTGGATTGCAGCCTTGCCTCGGGGAAAATTCGACCCCTCTGGCGCTCACTGGATTGAGTCGGAGCTGAGGCAATGGGGGTCTTCCTGGGGTGGTCGCCACTCCTGTTCCTCCCAGCCCCAGCAGTGATGGGGGGGTCAAACGTAGCTGCAGACCTAATCCAGGCGTGTCATTTGGAGGCAGAAACCCCCACTGGACTCAGAAGGGGGTCATAGTTAATAGGCACAGGGCTGGGGGTCGGGAGAATGAATGTGTTAATAGTTACAAGACAGTTCATGCACCATCCCTGGGAATAGGGCTCGTGGATCTCAGCTTCAGGGAGACCTGCCTGGGGCGGATGGATGGGTGGGGGGTTTATAATCGCTACTCACGAAGCCTTACCTAAATGCAAGAGACTCAACGACCACCACCCCGCCCCATAAGTTGGCCTCCCTTTTCTGCTTTCCACTTGGGAAAGAAGCATTGATGTGGCATTGGGGTGGAGCGGTACGGTATGTATGCGAAGGAGGGGGTCGCTTCGCGAGCACCAGCCTGGCGAAAGCCCCCCAATTCTCGCCCACCCCGCGCTTCCTTTTTTTGCAAGGGAAGCTTCCCTCCCGCCAGGAATGGCTTCGAAGCACCGCCTCCCCATCTCCTAAATCCTCCGCCGCCTCCTGCTTTCTCCTCCCTCCTTTTGCAACCTCTCCTTCCCCCTTTTTTCTGTCTGTCCCCCCCCTTCCTCCTCCTCCTCCTCCCGCTGCAACGGGCCTTTTGCACAACACACACACAACGCACGCACGGGCACACGCAGCTGCGCGCAGCCCTCGCTCGGGCTCTTCCCGTCGGCCCGGCGGCTCCAGATGGCCCCCCGCAGAAAGGAGAGGGGATGAATCCGGAGCGGCAGAGGCGCCGAAAGCAGAACGGAGGGCGATCGTGCAAATAGAGAGGAGCGAAAACCGAGAGGGAGGGAAGGCAGGCAGGAAGGCAGGCAGGAGGGTCGCGATCCGAGCGCAGGAGCAGCAGCGGCATGGCACCGCAATGCCGCGGAGAGCATTTCTAGGCGCCCCTTGGAGATGCCTCCGCTGCCTCCTCCTCCTCGGGTGCAGAGGGAAAGCCTTTGAGCGCGCCGGGGGCTCCCTCTCCCGGCCCCGCAAGCGGCCAGGGGCGAGACGCCTCGGACAGCGAGGGCGATCGAGAAAAGCACACGCACCGACTCGCCCGCCCGCGGCCAAAAGGGACCGGGCGCCGGGAGCATCTTCGCCGGGGATGCCAAGGGCCGGTAAGGACAGCGGAGGCCAGGCGAGGCGAAAAGTTTGCGAGGGAGGGGAGGAAGGGGTGGGGATGGCCGGGCGCGGGGCAGGGAACCTTGATGAGGGGGGGCGCAGGAGCTGGGGCGTCCGGAGGCCCCGTTGGGGCAGAGCCCTCTTGATCCCTCGGCGTTGGTGGCTTTGGGGATTGGGCCCCAGGCTAAGCCAGATCCTTCCCTCCCTCCCTCCTTCCCTCTCTCCAGTTACGAGCTTTCCGGAGGCATCCTCGGGCTAACCGGGAGCACATCTGACGAAGCGAGGCAAGTTTGATCGGTGGAAGGTAGCGCTCCCTGCAAGGACCGGTGGCCGGAGTGAAAGGGAGCCTTCCCGGGTCAGGCAGGCAGGCTGTCTTCATCCCTATCTGGCTCACGAAGAGTTTTGATGCTGATGAGCCCCGAGGCTTGCTTTTTAATGGCTTTCTTTAATCTAGAAGGTGCCATGAGCCTTGGGGGCTGCAACCGTGGGCGAAGGTGCTCATTTTCTCAGTCCTGTTTTAATCAGCTCTCAGGTATTGGGGGGGGGCAGACCTCTGGGAAGGGCTGTGTCTGTCTGCAGGCTGTGCCCTGGAGCTCCTTGTCAGGGACAGGCAGTACAGTGGGCAGTTTCTGAACAGGGCTGCCCTTGTGCTCTTAGCATGGAGTCCCGTGTGGCCTTTTCGTGACCATTTCAAGAGGCTGTTGGGTTGCACAGATTGAAGAGTGGTCTGGGGTTTCCCAGGAGCTGGTTGTGGCAGACGGATGGCTTGACACACCCCCTCTTCGTGTGTCCCTTTGCAAAAAACTCAAGAGCCACTGGAGGTGGTTTGGGACAGGGGGCTGACCAGAAGTGGGTTGGAGAAAGTGGAACACACGTCTCCTCAATTAATTAGTACGTATGTTGTTTGGATGGTGTTGGCAGGTTGCTTGCACTCAACTGTAAGTCACCACGCAGAGTTGTTTAGACATCAATGCCTTTATTCCAAATGTTTTGGAAGATGAATGGGATGCCAGTGTGACAATCTGAGACATGCACACATCTGCCAAGACTCTTACCATGGGTAAGCCTTGATCCTTGGGGTGGCTGACTTGCCCGGTTGTCACAGCTGGTTTGCTAGAAGGACTAGATGCCTCTGTACTGTGGTCCAGCTTTGATCCACTAGAGCAGACTTCATCCGTCAGACGTATGTTGTTTGGATGGTGTTGGCAGGTTGCTTGCACTCAACTGTAAGTCACCACGCAGAGTTGTTTAGACATCAATGCCTTTATTCCAAATGTTTTGGAAGATGAATGGGATGCCAGTGTGACAATCTGAGACATGCACACATCTGCCATGTGTAAGCCTTGATCCTTGGGGTGGCTGACTTGCCCGGTTGTCACAGCTGGTTTGCTAGAAGGACTAGATGCCTCTGTACTGTGGTCCAGCATTGATCCACTAGAGCAGACTTCATCCGTCAGCCCAACCTTGGGCCTCCAGATGTTCTTGGACTACAACTCCCAGAAGCTTTCAGCACCACCTCTGCTGGCCAGGATTTCTGGGAGTTGAAGTCCAAGAACATCTGGAGGCCCAAGTTTGGGGACCACTGCACTAGAGCAGACTTCATCCATCAAACTACGGGTCCCATCAGCCCTGCCAAGCATGGCCTGTCCCTAAGGACAATGAGTGTTGTATCCCCCAACATCTGGAATACACCAGACTATCAGAGATGGTGAGCCTAACATTGGATTGTGCGCACTGGGCAGTTGGCTAAACATTTTCAGTGGACTGTGGGCAGATATTATAAAGGTACTATGTAGTTTTTACATAACATGAGCTTACTGTGCCCTTTATTAGCATCCTGCCCCCATCCTGTAGCAATCGGGGCAAATCTAGCAGCATATATTTCGTCACTGGCCCCCTGTCATAGCGATGACCTCGTACCTGCTGTAAGCGAGGCACAAGTTGGGTACAAATCCTTCCCAGCCATAAAGTTCATTCATTGATACTGAACTGGTCACACACTCTAATCTCTCTCTCTCTCTGGGCTTTTACGAGAACAAGATAAAATAGGGTTTTACTGACTGTCCTTTGAGTCAATGGATTCAAGGGAATACAAATCTAATCAATTCAGTGTTGTTTTTAAAGTTCAGTATTCTTGTGAAACAATGGGTTCTTCCCCACAAACCTTTTATTGTGCAGTTGCATTGTTTCCTTCAAAGGGTTTTACAAGGGGATCCTTGTATATCATATACTGTACATTGTAACTTGCCCATGTTTTTGCCATATTTCTTCCATCTTTTTTCTTACCTGTCTCCCCCTTCCAAAAAAAAAAAGCTGTTAAAGAAGAAAATGTGGATTATTGCGTGCACAGTGTCAATGTTATCACTTGCAATGCCAGGAGGCCTCTGTCCAGAATGACATTATCATTTATTCGTTTATTCATTGTAATTAGCATTATGTATCACACCTGCTGATTCTATGCCCTATGTTGTTTTAATAACCTTAAAGCTCTGAAAATATTTGCCTGTTTTTGGTGAATTTCCCAGCTTCAGTATGTCAAGAACACATGTTCGACTAAGACAGGTAGATGCTTATATGCTGTCTTTTCTAAACAGAAATCGGGGAGACAAACATAATAGTGTTAACACAATTAAAACACTATCCTTTGGATACATTAATAGGTAGACTTCCCACTTATAGGTCAGTCTTGAGTGGATGAGATCAGATCCTGAACCTACTCTTCATCAGTCTTGATCCACTGCAGTTGAGATAGTGTGGCATTTTGATTCAGAACCCTATGGTTCATTTTGATTCAGATCATCACCGTTATCTTAGAACTGCAGAGCTGGAAGGAACCCTATGGATCAGTGGACCCCAACCTTGGGCCTCCAGATGTTCTTGGACTACAACTCCCAGAAATCCAGAGGTGGTGGTGAAGGCTTCTGGGAGCTGTAGTCCAAGAACATCTGGAGGGCCAAGGTTGGGGACCACTGCTATGGATCATCAAGGCCAGCCTTGGTCAGGGATCAAACCCCCAACCTCTGGCTCCACAGTTGGATGGCTAAACCGCTGAGCTATCCAGTAGTTAACCAGTACTTTGGGAGGTATTGGTTCAGTTCCCCTTTGAGCCACAGGATTCACTGGGTGACCTTTGGTTGTTGCCCTGTTGACATCTCACAAGAATAAAGCTGGGGGAAGGAAATTCTTTATGCTTTCTTGAGCTCACTAGCGGAAAGGTGGGATATAAATGAGCTTATTAAATAATAGGTTCCTACATGCCACCATTGTTCAGTTGCCATCTCCTGGAACTGAGGATAAATCCTAATTTTCTGATCAACTTTGTTTGATCAAAATTAAGCACGATTAGTCCTTTATTTCCCCAATCAAAACTAGTTCTTGCTGGAACTACGATACTGTGTATCTGACTTGGGGCCAGTCCTGCTGTTGGGCAAACTGAATTGTTCCCCTTGGGCAGCATATGCTTGGAGGCAGCAGCGGGTGAAAAGAGAGCAACGTGCCGCGCCCTGTGCAATCCAAGCTATTCTGCTGCCTTCAGTTGTGGGCAGAGTATATTTCCCCATTATTCAGCTGCTAGTCTTTTATGCATGGAAGAGAAGGGGAGGTCACCTTGGGCAATGTTTAGCCGCCTGATCTCAATTCCCGCTTACGGTGGGCCAGATGCCCCTTTGGTTGCCAATGGAAGCCATTAACATCATGGCTCTATATTCCCAGCATGGTGTAGTGGATAGAGTGACGGGACTAGAACGCTAGACAACAGGGTCTGAATTCCCACTTGGCCATGGAAACTCACTGGGGGGGGGGGAGAACTGGTAAAACTGCTCCTTAAATATCTCATTTACTTGGAGAGCCCCATTGGGGCCATTATAATTTACTTGGAGAGCCCCATTGGGGCCATTACAAGTCAATTCCGACTTGATGGCACAAAAAACACACATACATGTACCTTTAAGTGGTTTATAAATCAGCTTTGTGCTACTAAGTCCTATATCTATGTACTATACTGTTAGTTGCTACCCACTTGTGCTACTAAGTCCTATATCTATGTACTGTACTATAATGTTAGTTGCTACCCATTGGCCTACATCTGTATTTTGGATCTGTCTTGATTTGGTGGACCTGATACTGTATTCAGCTAGGGTGCATCAGCATTGGATCTGTCTTGATTTGGTGGACCTGATATTCAGCTAGGGTGCATCCGCAGATCAGCATCCCCTGCAGTTAACAAGATCATGTCTTCCTCTTGTAAAATCAGGCTCAGCTGAGTGATCAACTCTGTCATTGACAGGGGGAGTCAAAGTGACCATATTTCCCACTGGTGCGCATTATCTCACCTCTGTTACATTCAGTGAAACCTGGCTCCTAACTATCTCCCAATTAAGCTGTGAACTTGTAGCATAAGCTCTCTGTTGGGATAGATCAGGTACGTGGAAACTCTAGCCAGTGGGCCTAATAGAAGGACACGGGACCTCACTGCCCAGCCCACCAGTTTTTGCAAGGCTTTTACAAAAGCAGTCAGAAGGAAGACAGATTTCGGCAGACTGAAAACTACTATCTTCCTCCTTAGTCTTATCTATTCTGTGCCACTATTGTAGAAATACAGCAACCTTTGGTGTGTTAACCTCAGGTAGCGCTTTGTTAGAAAGGCCAAAAAAAAAAAAAAGAGGGTCTGTTCTGGTCCTTTCTAGCAGGAGAGAGCTTCCGCGAGAGTCAACATTCTAAGTTTACTTTTCCTCCTTCTTAGCTAATGTTCTTTGCTTTGAAAGCAGCCAAGCTTGATGGAAACTTTTAAAGCGCAAGAGACGATTTTAATATTTAAACATGTGTTTCTTCAGGCAAAAAAAAGGGGGGGGTAAAGGGGAGGGAGAAGAGGGTTTAGGAACTCAGGATCTGTGGGCACAGATTTAGCATTGCTATGAATTATTAGACAGATTAAAATCCCCAGAAGGAATTTAGTAGTTTTCCTTTCCTTTCCTCCCCCTTTTTTTGGATTCTGTGG